CAATGTGATAAATTCTAATCTAGTTCATCAAATATTATGAAGCTGTTGTCATGCTACACGCTAAAGAATTATTTAATCACTGTGTATTGAAAAGGCACAATTTACTATGTTCAAATCCCATACTATACTTTTTTATTGATTGATTGATTTTATTTTATTTTATTTTATTTGTCAATTGCTTACAAAATAATAGGTATAAGTATAAATATGAGTAAGAATACAGGAAATAGGTACAAATAAATGGGGACAATAGGACAGGGATGGGAGGCATGATGGTGCACTTATGCACGCCCCTTACAGACCTCTTAGGAATGGGGTGAGGTCGTGGATGGGATCCAATTGGTATAACTACCGGTTCTGTTGCTCTGTGTCACACGCACATGAGCAAGTCGCACGAGTGCAATTTACGATCTGCTGAGCTGCCCGGACAGTGGAACAGCGCTGCGTGCAAGTGCACAGTGGTTGGAAAAGCAGGTGTGCCGCGCAAAGCAGCTGAGGTTGGAAACGCAGGAAATAAAGGTCAGGTAAGAGCTTGGGTGGGCGGGTGGGCCAAAACAGCAGCAGACATAGAACCGGTTCTATGTATGCTCTCTGTTTGCTGCTCTTCAGAGCAATCGGTTCTACAGAAGTGGACAAAACCGGTAGAATCCCACCCCTGGGTGAGGTCAATAGTGGATAGTTTAAGGATAAAGGAGTGGGGGAGTTGAGGATGTAACCACAGAGTCAGGTAGTGCATTCCAGGCATATGTAAAGCATACTTTACAAATCTCAGTGGTTGGTTTCATGCAACACTATGTCGTATAGGTATATGTAGAATTATATGAGGCTAGTAGTTGCTGGGGTTGGGTAGCATATAAATTTAATAAATTATTAGCAGTATTATTACTGCCATTGGATAATAATATGCAGAGTCCCATGAAAAATGCCACACAAAAGAAACACATTTTGGCTTAGTATTTTATATGAATGAATGGTATTTTCATTCACTTAGGAATTTCCATTTCAAAGTTGGAACAAGAGGAACAAGAGAGACTCCCCAATGCAGTCCCACATAAATTATTGTCCAAAGAGAGTTTCAAGTTGCTTCTTGCCTAACTCTCACTGTTTCTGTCCAGGAAATCTCTAAGGCAAAAGCTAAATATACAATACTGGCAAACTCAGGCAAATGCATGGCTTTGAGTTATCGTGGAAGGAGAGAGTTATGAGATTAATAAAATGCCTGAATGCATAAGTCAGGAAATCACATGCCACCATGGGGCAGGTCATCATGATTAGGAAGGAATGTGGCTTCCATTTAGGTGTCTGGTATTTAGCAATCACGTCCACTCCTCATGCACAACCTTTGGCTGGCCCAATGCATCACAGCTATATGGTCCTGTAACTGCTGTACGTTGATTTTTGCTTAACATATTGTTTGGAACCAGCCCTTGTGGTATGTAAACTACGGTTTCTAGTTCAATGTGAATACAGCCAATTTTGGTTCATCCAAGAAATCATAGTTAAATCACTCATGAATTCATACAGCGTGTGAGCAAGATATGAATGTAGTATTTGCTTTGCTGACTCAAGGCATGTGGAAATTGCATTTTGCTCTTTTCACCAGCCTTCCCTAAACTGGCACCTCCAAATATGGAATAATTACAAAGTCTAGGATTCCCGAGAAATCTCAGAGTTGCATTCTCAGCACATCTGGAGATTGTCATCTTTGGGAAGGAAGTTTTCTAATCTTGTTGAGCATCAGTTTTGGTGCTTCTTCTGGGAGGAAGCAATCTATTGCCTTTTAATGAAAAATAGAAGAAATACATAACACATATCAAAAGTTCAGGATGCTCTCTTATGGCATCAAAGTCACGGATTTCGATCAGCTTTATCTATACATAAATATTTGCTTGAAGTGGGGAACTACTTCAGATTCTGTTCTCCAAAATGTTTTAGTGAAAACTTGAATGATCCTCTCTGGACAATCAACAAACATGAACTTGGTGCAGTTTCTTCCAGACAGTCTTTTCTCAAAGAAATGTTCCCTTTTCAGGAACACATCAAGACAAACACTTTTATGATGGCATAAAGCTCTTAGTATAAATTTGTCAATGGTTCCATAAGAAGCCTTAGGTAGAGTGGATGCAAGGATACTTTAATAGTTGGTTGTTGTTTGGGGGATAAATCCAGAGTTTTTACAAGGCCTCTGATTAACCACCCAAAACACAGTTGGTAAGTGAGGTTGAAGGATTAATGTGGAGTGATGCAGCATGTGAGAGTCACATTACATTGAAAAGAAATGGCAACATTGAAACAATTTGTTTCCAGCATAAAAAAAGTGGCACATGAACTACTTGTTGACCCATCAAATCTATGTTTGCTTCTGCTCACATAAAACTTGGGCTGATGAAAAATTTTGTGAAGGTAGAGAAGGTAAAACTTTTCATGATTTGAGACAGATGTTTCAAAAAAAATCTGATGCCAAGATTAAGGAAGGCATTTTTGTTGGTTTGCAGATCAGATATATCATCAATGACAAGCAATTCAAAGAACTGTCAATTGGACCAGAGAAAATCACCTGGAAAGCGTTCAAGGATGTCATTGAGAATTTTCTCAACTACAGAGTATCAAACTATATTCAGTTGGTTGACAAACTTCTTACAGCATACAAGACCTTGAAGTGCAGTATCTCACCGAAGATTCATTTTCTATATTCATGCTTGGGTTTCTTTCCCAAAAATCTAGGACCAGTGAGAATGAATATGAATATTTCACTAAGACATTTTCCACAATGGAAAAATGGTATCAGGGCAACTGGAATCCATCAGTGCTGGACATTAGAGAGAGATGCATTAGACACGGAATACAAACAAAAATCAGCAGCAAAACAATTTTAGTCCTGCTGAGTTCATGCAGCATGTTAGAAACATTATGCAATTAAATACATCATTAAAAGTTAATTTCATATTTGTCAAGGTTCCTATGTAATAGTCATTCTGAAATTGTATTTGTGTTCAGTTTGAAGGGGGTCTATCATAATCACCAAACATTTTTCAGGAGGCAAAACTTCTGGGGAAAAAAGTTGGCCTCTGTAATTAACATACATTTAACTGGGTTGCAGGATAACCTTGTTAAGATTTAGTCATTGGCTTCTTTGCCTAATTGTTTTGGGAAGGTATACAGAACCAGTATGAAACAAACATACTATTGGTCTGAACTTGTCTTCCCTTGTGTGATGATATCTGTTTATCTAAGTGGCATAGTGTGGATAACAACTGATTTGAGCGAGTTTGTTGGTAAGAACACCCTGGGAGGTGATCCTGGGGGGCGTTTGTGTATTGTGAAAAACACAACACTATACCCAAGAGTTGTCTATAGAATTAATTTCCATTTAAAGCTGAAATAGAAAAGGTTTTGCCAGCAGCCATGGGGAAATGTCCTGAAGACAACTTAGAATGAGTTGACAATGGCAAGGCAGAAATTGAGCAAAAGAGATGGACCACTTAAAATGAATACAGGTGGGGGGCTGCTTGCCTATCAAACTCAATGTATCAACACTGTTTTGATGTGGCATTTTCTACCAGAAAAAAATACCCCGAAAGCAGCCGTGCATGCTTATCTAAAAATGCACCCCATAAATATATACTCTGCTTATAGCAAATGACATGAGGGGAAGCAGTTTAAAAATAAAAATGGCAACATCTTAGAACAGCCAAAGATTACAAAATGCTAATAGAAATCAGAGTATTTGTTTTGAAAGGGACTTTATTTTATTGCAAAATGCATATTGCACTGCAAAATAGATCTTGCACTGCTGGGATGTTCAACCTTTTAAAACCCAAGATCACATTTAGCCTTTTGAGATGCATGCTCCAACCATTGGGCAGGCCGATGGACAAAAATCTGAATTTCTTTGATAACTCTCAATGAACATAATTCCCCACATTAGTTTATTTTTCTGCTCCATATAAAATAACCCAGCGGCTGTGCCCCCTTGTTGAAATGAAGACCTTTCGATCACATTTTCGTTGCCCAAAAGAGAAAAGAAATGATGAGATAATTAAATAAGTAAAATGCTACCCACAATAAAAACGCAGCACTTTATTGTTACATATGTATATATTTGTAACAATATATTAAAACAACATTAAAAGAAAAGCAGCATCTTCCGTCTCCCTGGCCTGGCACCACGCAGAAAAAGCAACGCTGAAGAAGCTAGAGAGAAGATTGAAGACAGTTCTGCGCGCCCCAAGAGGCATACAGTGTCGAACGGCTGGCTGCAAACCAAACCAGATCTCTCTCGGGATCTCTCCGGCCGTCAGGATCCGCACCTTCCCAATTCCTCGTCCTTTCTCCCTCGCTCCGCGCCGCCGCCGCCTCCTTTCCTCCTGACTGAAACGCGTGGTTAAACCAGATCCCACCTCCCTCTCTCAGCAGGAAAGGAGGTGGGTTCTTCGGGGTTCACCGGCGTGTTTGGGCCTCTCTACCGCCTCCCCTCGCTTCTTCTGGGAAGCGGCGATCCACGCCATCGGCGGTCGATTTTGTGCAAAGTCCCTGGGCTTTTTTTGTTTGTTTGTTTTTTGTTTTCCTCCCTTTTTCCCTCCTCCTCGCTCTCTGCTCATCTACTCTCTGCTCGCTCGCTGGCTCTGCCTCGTCCCTCTCTCTCTCTTTCTCCTTCTCTCTCTCCCTCGCCCCTCTCTCTTCGCACGCAACTTTTGCAGAAATCTCTCCCCCCCTTCCCCCCCCCCCCCCCCCCCCCCCACACGCGCACGGACATGTTGAGCTGAGAAGGTCGGGGGATCGGTCCTGTCCCCCCCTCCCCGCCCCCAAGCCCCTAAATCTGGGGGACCTCCAGCCACCCCCTCCCCCTCCCCACTTGACCCGTTCACTGGGCGACGACCCCGTCCCTCCCTCCCACCCTCCGCCCCCCCCGCCCCCTGCCCATCTTCTATTTTTGCTCCTTCCCCTTCTTTCTCCTCCTCCTCCCACTCCTCCCACCTCCTCCTTCGGCGGCTGGTGCAGCAGCTCCTGGATGGACACCCCGGCGGCTTCCCCTCGCCCGCCGCCTTTCTCCGGGCACTGAAGCGAGATGCAAGAGGCTGGTGGCCGCTTCGGCTGAACGGAGAGACACAGGCGCAAGATGGCAGATTTCTATTGAGTTTAAAGGGGCGGCGGGGAGGGGTGGGGGGTGGGGTGGGTGGGAAGCCGAAGTCCTGCTCCGTTTTTCTTCCGTTGCCATGAATAACAGGATTCCTTGCACCGATGGCTCCCATGTACGAAGGTAAGGGCGGCTTTCGGGTCCGAAAGGGCTCGCTCTTCCTGCTTCGAACCTCCCTCCCGCAGCCGGCTTTCCTTGGGGGCGGGTGGAGGGGGAAGGAGAAAAAGAGAGGCAGCGAAAGGAGGCGAGGAAAGGGGGGAGATCCCCACCATCACACACACACACACACACACCCCTCCACCGGCTGCCTCCCCGGGATCGGTTGTGTGTGTGTGTGTGTGGGGGGGGGGACCCGGTTCGAAACGGCGCCGGTTCCCTCTTTTGTATGTGCGCCCGGGTGGCTTTTCCGGGGGTTCGTCTGGAACGTGCCCTTTCCCCGCTTAGGGAGGTCTTTAGAAGGCGATTCCCATCCCAGCCACCACCCCCTTCCCTTCCCGCGGCTTGTGGGGAAAGGGCGAGCACCCGTGTGTGTGTGTGTTGTGGGGGGGGTGTCTCTTATTTTACCCCTCGGCGTCTGATTGCGGGAGTCTCCTGGCGGTGCCGGGTTGGAAACAATGCAATTGACAAGGCGAGGGTGGGGGGGGGGAGGGGCTGCGCCGCCGGCCCACCGGGCGCTCTCTCTAATGCGGGGCTCGCTCTCGCCCACAGAGATGGGAGCCCCTCTTCTTCTTCCTCCTCCTCCTCCTCCTCCTCCGAACCTTCCTTGCTCGTGAAGGTGCCCGTTTGGTCCAAGCGCTGCCCGAAGCCCCGAGGTCCCGTAGTTGCCGTAAGGGGAGAAGATGCCTTGCAGGTACGCGCCGGCATCTGGGGCTTCTCCGGAGCCGGGTGCGTGGCCAGATGTCAAGGAAGGATTGGGCGGGGGGGGGGGGGAGGAGGAGGAGGAGGAGGAACCCACGCGCGATTTGTCCTTCGAGCTTCGTCCACGTCCAGTTTTTCTTTCTTTCAGTTTCGAGCTCAAGCAAACTGGGCTGGAGGTGGATGGGTGGATGGGGGGGTGGGGGTGGAACTTGGAGTGGTTTGCGGGAGAAGATCGCGAAGTTGATTTTTCGCCTTTTTCGTTGGAATCTAAATTGGGGGAGAGGAGGTGTTTCTCTCAACACCCCCCCCCCCCACCCCACCCGATCCTCACCCGCCCCTTCTGTTGCTTCTGGTCCTTCTTCTTCGTCCACCACGGAGACAGAACAATGAATCCGGCTTCATGGAAAACCACCTTGCGCTTTTCGGTCGTCGTTCCTCTTCCCCTCCCCGCGTCTCCTTTTCTCGTTCGTTCGGGCTCGGTTTTGATTGCCGAAAATGCGGGAGAGACGTCCCGTTTAATTTAGGGCTTCAGTTCAGGAATCGTCTCGTCTGGTTCCTTTGATCGCAGCCACAGAGGTTAAAATGCGAAAGCCGGGTGAGTCTTGCCTAAGAGAGTGTGCGAAAGAGAGAGTTCTTTCTGTTTTTTTCTGCCAGACGAAGGAGTGCAATAAAACTTAAAGAGAAACCCGGCGTTAGTTGTACAGACAGAGCCTTTTCTTCGCTTCGTAAGAACTGGTTTCTTCGGGCCTGTAAAAGTTATGATCTGAAGTCGATTGTCCTAAATGCATGGATTGGTAAATCGCTTTCACCCCCGTTCCTTTAAATCCTTTGTTGCTTGGGCAGAAATTATAGACCTAAGAATAACAAGAGACTCAGGTATGGACTTAGGGTTGCAAGATTGCTCTCATTCCAGATGGTGAGTTTATCAGATCAAAAGGTAGCCATTAGGGAAAGAAAGAAAGAAAGAAAGAAAGAAAGAAAGAAAGAAAGAAAGAA